GCCCTGCACTGCGCTGCCCTGCCCTGCCATGCCCTGCCCTGCCCTGCCCTGCCCTGCCCTGCCCTGCCCTGCCCTGCCCTGCCCTGCCCTGCCCTGCCCTGCCCTGCCCTGCCCCTACAAATTCTTGCGGTGTCGCAGCTACGTGGGTTTGCAGATGGTCTCGGCCCATGCGTTTGTCCGAAGGCTGCCAGAGTTCGACCGTGCCTCAGGCAACAACCCTGTGATCTTCTCCTCCATGAACCTGCTACACTTCGTGGAGCCAGAGCCTCTCCTACGAAAGGAAAGGCATTCGGTTTGGGGTTTCGAGTCCAGAGCTAACGCTGGACAAGACAAGCCATGTGAAGGCCAGGGTAGTCTGGCTTCGTGGTTCTCCATGGCGATGGAACTGAAGAATTCCATAGAGCACCTCGTGCAGCACAATGTTAACGTTTTCGGTCCTGTTCAAAGACAAGAAGTTCAATCACGAGAAAACCGGGCTCTTGGATTGTCTTAGAAACTCGACTCTGGTATGCTCAAGCCTAGATGAACAAGCCAGGCTCTAAATGTTTTGGCCTTGAAAGCTTAAACAAGCGCCTATATTCCCTGACCAACCCCAGAAAAGGCTCTCGACTCTGGAGCTGTGTTTCGGTTTGTATGGATCATGGAACGCCAGTGTAGTGCCCTGTCAAGAAGCACAAAACCAACTCCTCTTGCCGGGGCACCCTCGTTTTCTTGCTTTTCTCAATGTCGCATTGCTTGTACCTTTTAGGGCTGCCCAAACTTCAGTTTCTTCATCCAAGGTTGCTTAGCTTGTGCTGTGCACCACAAGCCGAAGACCGTACGTACCGGTGGCCCATTTTGCATCAGAATCATCCCATCCGAATCTTCAGGCCGCACATCCCCACCCGGCCGAAACAACACAGCCATTTGTGAAGTGGGATCTTCAAGGTGACATGTTGTGAGCATGTAAAGTCCGAAGTTCTAGACTGCCAACCTCCAGACCATCAATTTCGAGTTCAAGTAATCAGAACAGACTAGCCCTTCTCAGGTCTGGTGCTCTTGCGAAACACATAGACATGGCCCACTCCTCGACTTGTTGTGAATGTTGTACTCGTAGTTTCGGGATGCAGTGTGTTCAGCTTGTCTGGCTCTGGGATCGTAGAGCAAGCCGGAGCAGGATTTCAAGCCCACAGCCCCGATTCTATTCCTCACGATCGCGCGCACAAGCTTTACCTTTGAATCTTCTCTCAGCAGTGGGGTGCCGAGTGCTTTCTTCCTGCCGCGTCTTCGTGTAAAGATGTGCAGCCTTCTGCAAACTTGGTAACGAGGAAGCTCTTGAAAGGCTGAGGCCCTTCCCCGCAGGGTGCACCTGGGGCTGTTGGGGTCCCCTGGATGTTTGTCGGTTGAGAGAAGTAGACTTTGAGGAATGGAGACTCCATAGTTTCAGTGTCAGGTTGAGAGGGTTGAAAGTTTCGGGTCTGTAGTTGGAGGCTGTCGGTAGAACAGGTTGAGGGTTGAAGGATTTGTAGTCTTCGTTACTCCCTGTGCCCTGTGTCTTGTCATCAAGGAAGACGTGTTTAAGCAGAGCTTATCGTGGTTGACTTCGTCATTTGTACTCGACACTTGCCAGTGCGTTCCTCGTAACTCCTGAAGTAGCCCCGACCTGCTTAAAGAGCGCGTGGCCTGACGGTAAGCTTCCTGTGCTCAGGTCTCAAAGGATTTGGGTGAGAGGCCTCGCAACACGTGCAGAAGGATTTCAGAGTTCTGAGAGTTGTGGCGGGGCTGATACACCTCTTGAGGATAGCTCGTCCAGTGTGAGATCGAGCGCCGTGGGCATGCGTTGCGGAGACGCGACTGCCATGTAACCTTTGTTTTGGGACTTGCTCATTTTCAGATTGTTGAATGTTGATCGCTGTTTGGTCGGCCAAGGGAATAAGCAGTTCTTGAATGTTCTTGAGCTCCTGCTAGCGGTCTTCCAATGCCATCCACTACTGCGACGACGACGTCGACGACGACTACTACTCCCACTGCCCCGGTGCTACAGCTACTGCAGCCAGCAGTGCCCCCACGTGTGAACTGCTGGTGGTGCTATTTCCGCTACTGCTGCTACTGCTGCTTCTGTTGCCTGCTACTGCTACTACTGCTCCTCCTGCTCCTACAGTACGATTGACCTGTGTCAGTAGTGGGATGGTCTAGGCCACGCATGACAAGCTTGGAACCCGGCGACCTCCATGAAGAGTCGCAGAGAGCCAAACAACTTTCCATCAGAGCTCTGGTGGAAGGTGCCTGACGTTGAAACTGGACTTTACAATGCCGTGTAGTCTAGCAGCCCTCTTCCCTCAAGACGCACAGTCATACTTAGATGGCGACCTTGTTAAAGACTTTTCGCCTCTGGCATCGGCATTTTATGATCGTTGCTCATGTCGTCTGTTCTTAATCCTACGACCGCAAGCTTCGGAGTGCCACTAGCCTTGCTGGGAGGTGTAAGTTTATCTGCAAGAAGCTCCGAGACGTGGGCTTGGAGGCCAGCATGAGCGAGTGGTCAAATTTTCGGCGCACTGTAACGCGACTTCGCGGTGGTCCCGGTTTGGGGAAGCGGGGCGTTATTATTATAGCGTCCAGTTGGGCTTCGGCTCCTGCAACTACAACTACAGCTACACAGCTACAATTGCTACTGCTACGCATTGCCACGAATGCAGCACCAGTACTTGCACTACTAGATCGAGCACAGGTACTGGTACGAGTACGAGTAATTACGAGCATGGGTGCTAGTGACCTAGTACAAGCTTCCACTAGCTATTGCCGAGGCTCGGGGTACCGTATATGCCACCGATCATCTCTCATCAGAATTTAGGATGTTTGGTAATTTTGGCGCCGATAATCCGATGATCTTCGAGTTTAGGGATTGAAACCCATCATCTTTGAGCTTGCGGGCCTTGCACTCAACCTGCTCATTTTGGGGCTGTCGGAAAGTATTCGCATTTTTTGGAGGGGTTGGTGCTTGGGGGTTCATCAACTCCATCACAGTTTGAAATTCGGATCCAATTCTATCTTATTACCGTTTAAGCTTCTTGTGAGCAGGGTGCTTGTTTGCCACTTCTAGGTTCTGGTTTTGCAAGTTTCCTCGCATTGGGGCTAGGAGGGCTTGCCACCCATCATGTTTTTTGTAGGTCTGGATCTACGAATACCCATTCTTTTCAGGTTTCTGACCTCTTCTTGACGTTTGCTACCCCCCCCCCCCACAAAGCACTTGCTGTTAACTGGCACCTGGTCAGCTCGTTTAGGGCTTCGGTGTCTACCACCCACCGTGTTCTTGTCAGATGTCGTTTATGAAGTTGAGATGCTTATGACGTAGACAGGGCTTATGGGGTTTGTCTTCCCTGGTTGTTGCTATTGGACTCGGCTTGCCATCTTGGGGTTTCGGGATTTAAACACATCATTCTCTATGCGGTTCACACGACCTGCCCAATTTGGGGTTGTCGGCACCCCACCACATTGTTTGATGGACTTGGTGTTTGGGGGTTTGTCATTTCCATCAGAATCAAGATCCAACATAGTTTATTGGATTTTGACCTTCGTGTGAACCAACAATGAGGGCTAGGAGTTCTTTGGAACCAGTCTTCCGAACCACCTA